GACAAATTTAAAAAATGTTTATAAACTTCTGATCTTAAGATAAAATGATAAAAATAAGTCAGTCAAAAAGTTAGAACTTCTAATTTATGGCTCTTTTGACTTGTAAGTTTAAAACCAAAAATCCATCCAAATAAGCTCTTAATTATATTGACATTAGTTATAGTGAGATATTTCTTATGCACTATTTGATCTGATTTATTAAAAATAACATGCAAAGTGTAATATTGCTTAAGTTTCAACTCTCCCCTTGACCCCTTCTCAACATATGATAGTATCAATATAGTACAATGGTTGAAGATATGAGGGAAAATAAATTGATAGAATAGTGTCAATCACAATGTGTGTTTATTTTTTTATTTTTTTCAGGAAAACACTTTATTGCATTACTTTAAAACATGTTTCAGATGTCCATAAGACATCATTGCATCCGTTACAACACAACTTGGGAAGACAGAATCCCAAGAAAATGTATTTATACATGAAATAGAAATTTTTGCTAGATTATGGGCTAATACATTCCATGTTCGAGGAATATATATAATTTCGATTTCTTCAAAAGACTTCATCAATCGCCAGACATCCTCGCAAATGGTCTCTATTTCCCAAGATGTTATCACATTCTTTTGCAACATTTGTATGACATTCTTTGCATCTGACAGTATGTGAACCTTTGACCAACCCTTTTGTAGTGCTCTTTCCACAGCTTCCCTAATTGCTAGTGTTTCAGCAGTTATAGCCTTCCCTACAAATTGAATAGGAGTACCAAAGGCATGAAGCAAATGACCACATCTATCTATAGCCGCCATCTGATGCTTGCTTTTTCCTTCTCCCTTTGTAGACCTGCATCTGTGAAAACAACCACCCCATCTCGGGCCAAAGTAATGGTTGCATCATAAATCTTGTTTGGTATAGGATTCACAACTGTCGAATTTTTTACAACATCGTCATATTCATGTAAATCAAATAAAGCCTTATTTACTACGTCATTAGGTTGGTCATACAATTTGTTAGTAGTTGACAAATATATTTGTCAAATATCACAAGTTCTCAAATACTAAAAAAAATTAATATTTGGGCCAAATTCTAATATTTAGAATTTTTTTAAAAAAAATAAAAAATTACCTCAATTTTTTATATTTTATAAAAAATATCCATCATTTATTAACTTCAACTAATATTTATCTACTAAATTACTCCATTAATAACTAACAACTATTCCTCTCTGTTGTCTATACAGATTGTGGCAAAAAAAAAGAAGAACAATTTATCTTTAATAGGTTATAATTCATCTCGAGTCAATGGCGAGTATGAGTATGCGATTAATGTATTGCTACTGCTCATATTGTTATTTTGTTGTTGTTGATTGTTATCAATTGTGTTATAACTTATAAGATTATTTATTAACAGTATATGTTCATTATAAAATGGTAATACAAACATAAAGGTATATTTTTTGAAATAGTCAAATATTTCTCTCAAAATTTATGGCCAAACGCATGGTCTAACTTCATCCCAAAATGATTTGCCAAGAATATTTTGGAATTTGGGGTCAAACGCTAGCTTAGTCATATTTTATGTCGCACCATTTGACTTGACAAGATATTTAAGAAAAATGGAAAACTTTTCAAACATGTGGTCTAAAACAACCCTTAGATATTTATGTGTATGTAATCATTTAACTAAGGGTAAAATTGAATTTTTAAAATTAAATTATTTCTAATGATAAAGTGACATTCTTTTAATTTTGGGACAGATTAAAACAGAAAAAATGTCACGTAAAATAGGATAAAGGAGTACATTTTATTTCTTGTTTCTTCACTTGTTCCTCCTCCTTTAACTCTTAAAAAGATTTTCTATTTGTAGCCCTTTTCTTAAGCACCATTTGAAATGTGATATGGCATAATGATTTGAAATTAAATTGACTTGAGTTGAATTTTTGTTTGAAAATACAATTTCATTTTTAAAGTTATATTTTTTTCCTCATAATTATAAAAATTCGATAAATTGTTGAAATTATCGAAATTCCTCCAATTTTTATATAATCTTATGAAGGAGTATTACTTAAATCTGCGAAACTTGCAGACCTCATAGGTTGTAATATTTTTCTTGGTGGGTGGGTGGGGAAACGAAACTAAGGAATGTAAAGACTAGTAGAGACCCCCCTATGTAATTTTCTATATAGGGTGATCAATCCACATCTTTTTTCATAGCTCTGGGATGTGTCTCAATCTCTTTTATATAGATTAGTAGAGACCTCTCTATGTAGTTGTCTATGTAGGGTCATCGATCCACATCTTTTCCCCCGACTGTAGATCGGAGTTGTGTCTCGTTCTCTTATATATTACGAATTATAAAGGACTAGTTTCTATAGAGATTCTTCTTGTCTAATTTCACTCCTTATAACATAAGGGGAGTTGGAGAGGCGTAAAGTGAAAATTGGGGGGAGTAGAAAAAATTTCCTTATGGGGTATCCGAAGGTGTAATCTAGGTAACGAAAAAATGTCCCCATACTTCAATTAGAGGAGCAACCAGTTGATCATAGTTATATCGGAATAATTTATGACACTACATTGATAAATCATATATCTCCATGTTCTTTAAATAAATGTTTGAAATTGTAATTTAAATACACATAATTTTATAAAGATCCACTAGTCAACAATAGTAATAACTAATTATTCTTTAATATAATCATTTCACGTAGTACATAAAATCTCTAGCTATCCGCTCCTCTTTCTTCCAATACTTTCTCTAAAAATATAGGAATAAGCAACAAATAAATTTATTAATTATGAGTTATTAACAATAAATTGACAACGAATATAACATGTAATTCATTAATTGTTTTAGTAGTGTGTTTATTTTATGTTGTTGAGTTAAGAGACAACTATAGATCCAACAGCATATCAATGTGCTAATGTTTTTAACAAGTTTTCAGGATCACATGACACAACATGACTAAAGTGTTCAAATAAAAATTGAGAAATAGGTATCTAAATAATCAAAACGTGTAGATCATGTTCTACACCAACCTAGCACCGTCCCCTGCATATAATTAACCTAAAAAATATGGCCATTCTGTTGGGATATCCAAATGAATAATGAAAAAAATGTTAAGTAAAAATAGTCCAAAATAATAAAAATATTTTATGCCAGTCCATAAAGCATTTGCAGTGAGTGTCAGAGTTAGGATTTTGAAAGTGGATAAAAAGATGGTGTAACTGTGTAAGGGTACTATCACGTAGTAGTTTGAGTGAATGTGTATTTGTATATATTTATTGATTGTTAGGAAATAACTTGAGTGAATGTGTATTTGTATATATTTATTGATTGTTAGGAAATAACTTGAGTGAATGTGTATTTGTATATATTTATTGATTGTTAGGAAATAACTTGAGTGAATGTGTATTTGTATATATTTATTGATTGTTAGGAAATAACTTGAGTGAATGTGTATTTGTATATATTTATTGATTGTTAGGAAATAACTTGAGTGAATGTGTATTTGTATATATTTATTGATTGTTAGGAAATAACTTGAGTGAATGTGTATTTGTATATATTTATTGATTGTTAGGAAATAACTTGAGTGAATGTGTATTTGTATATATTTATTGATTGTTAGGAAATAACTTGAGTGAATGTGTATTTGTATATATTTATTGATTGTTAGGAAATAACTTGAGTGAATGTGTATTTGTATATATTTATTGATTGTTAGGAAATAACTTGAGTGAATGTGTATTTGTATATATTTATTGATTGTTAGGAAATAACTTGAGTGAATGTGTATTTGTATATATTTATTGATTGTTAGGAAATAACTTTAAAAAAAGACGTGTAAATATTTTTAAATTAGAAATCTACCATTGCATCTTCTCTAAATTTTGCACATCTTGGTTTATATGGATCCTTCATGTGAAAGCACAGAGAAAAATGACATGTCAAGATCATGAAGAAGTTACTATAGGTAATCATTAAAAAAATTCTATTTCTCTCATTGGCAAAAGTTAAGTTGTTATATTTGATAAAACATTCAATCTTGATGACATTTTACATGATTCAACCGTTTACTTAAAATTAATTGTATAATAGTTATTTTGCTAAGTTTAATCAAGTTTCAATTAAATTTTTTTCTTAACATTTTTTATTAAGACTTGGCGATGAGGGGCATATTATACATAGGTCCGAGTGAAGAAGGATTATATACTTTTCCTATGTTAAAGTCATCTCCACCTGCTTCTTATGCTACATCCTTGAGCGTTTGACGTGCTCGTTTGGATCATACATCCTTTTCTACTTTTCATCAAGCATCTTCATCTAGCATTATTTTTCCTTTATTTAAATTTTTTAGTTTATGTTCTACATGTGCTGTTAATAAAATTCATAAAATTTATTTTCATAAGTCTAGTTTTCAAGCCTATGTGCCTTGAGAGAATGGATGTTTCACCATCTCTTTCCATTCTCTGATGTGATAATCTTATGCCTAATTTGTTTTCATAAAAATTAAGTCTCTATGAAAATGAATACACATCTGGGTATCAAGATGTGCATTAGATTTAAAGGTCTAAATTTAAATATTAATATTTTACATTAAGATTAGAATATTAAATAGTTAAGACGGTTTGTTTCTTGACACTTGAATGTATAAAATTTGTCTTTGTTTAAAACAATAAACCTAAAATTCAAATAATACATCAATTGATCTAATATTATATTAATAAAATATTTATATGAAAATTGATGGTACTGACTAACAATGGTGATTGTGTGTGTATGTCAATTTTAGGATGGTGTTGACTAATCATAGTGGTTATGAATAGTAATTATGATATAGTGGTTGGTAGTAGTGATTAACCATGATTTTTTATGGTGATGAATAATAATTAGTAGTTGAATGATACTGATAGTTAATGATGATGTTGAATGATGAAGGCAATTAGCGATATATAATGTTTACTAATTATGGGAATTATCGACTGTGATTAGTGGATGTAATGATGGTGATGATTGCAAATGATGGTTGCACGATGAATTTGGTAATTGGCGGTAGTGATAGTTATGGTTGGCCTGATAATGGTGGTTGTGGAAGGTAGGTGGTGGCAGTGTTCAGGAAAGCGAGCGTTTCATCGCTTAAAGTGATGGAGCGAAGCGATGCGAACCTTCTACGCTTTACAGACTAGAAGCGATGAGGCTGAAAAGAAGCGACCGCTTCAAAGGATGAAGCGCTGAAGCGAGGAAGCGGGCCGAAGCCCAAGAAGCGACACTTAAATTTTTTAAGGTCTTAAAAGGATTAAAAGTAAAAAAAAAAAAAAAAAAAAAGATCAGTGTCCTTTTATTTCAATAGACCCAGTTTAATTTGACTACTCTTCTAGGGTTTTCACACATTCTTCCTCAGGTATTCTTCTTCTTCTTCTTCTTCTTCTTCTTCTACATCAGTTTTCTTCTCCTTTTCCATGGACCTAGGATTTTCTATTCTTTTTTTTATACTCTTTTTTTTGCTCTGTTTTCTGCGCTGACTTAATCTTCTTCTTAACAATATAATCTATTGCTACAGTATTTTATTTTATTTTAAAATGGACTTCTTGCTGATTTTTTTTCTTAACAGTGAGTCTATGATTATTATACATTGCTACAGTGATTAGAAAATAATATTTCCTTTTTCTTCAAACTTAACAGAAAGATAAAAAAAATGAGTGATCCAACCTGAAAATATGGAAAAAAAGTTAGTGAGATCGATTGTTCCACAGTTGAATGTGTGTTTTGTAACAAGCAATCTAAAGGCGGAATCTTTCATCACAAGAAACAACTTATGGGTACTTCTAATAATGTCATACGGTGTTCAATATACCCGAATGTTGTGAGGAAAGAAATTAGAAGATATGTTGAGGAAAAAAAGGATCTAAAACGTCAAATATTACATCAACCGGATGTGACGAATCTTGATGATGATTATGACGAAGAAATGAAGGAAGGTGAAGCTGCTGATTTATCACTTCATACGAAGTCACAAAAATGAGCAATGAATGCAGCGATATCTTCAAGTTATGGATCAATCGGTAGAAAATGTCCTTTAGATTGTTATTTTCCACAAAAACCAGGATATAATGCAGGGAAAATGGTAAAAGAAGTTTGCAGGATGTTGCCAAGGGAATTTTAAGGGAACGTGTAGTTGTAGCCTTTTCACGGTGGGTGTATGATGTAGGACTCCCCTTCAATTGTGTCAATTATACTGACACTTTTGGAGCCTTCATTGAGCCCGTAGGGCAATGTGGTCCAGGAATGAAGCCTCCCACTTATCACAAAGTTAGTGTCAGTTGTCTAGCCAAAGAAGTGGAAGACACACAAAAATTGTGGAAGAACATAGAGTAGAATGGAACAAGTTTGGATGTTCTATTATGATGGATAAGTGGACGGCAAGAACGGAAAAATGATCATCAATGTGTTGGTGAATTCTCCAAAAGGAAGCTTATTTCTTGAATCCATTGATGCAAGTGACTCGTCTACTGATTCAATCAAAATGTTCTCCTTATTTTAGAACACAATAGAGAAAATTGGAGCATAAAATGTTGTTCAAGTTGTTACAGATAATGCAGCTGAAAATGTTAAAGCGGGTGATATGTTGAAAGGAGTGTTCCCGCACATATATTGGACTCCATGTGTAGCCCATTGCATAAATTTGATTTTTGGGGACATTTTCAAGGAAAGACCCTTCACAGGTGTTTTCACTAAGGCAGTTACGGTACATTCCTACATTGTTCAAAGGCCTTTATTATTGAATATGATGAGGAGATTCACAAAACAAATTTTTTTATTGAAACCTAGCAAGATTAGATTTGCTATTGCTTTCTTGACCTTGCATAACATGTATACACAAAAGGCCAATTTAAGAAGTTTGTTCATTTCAGAGAATGGAACACTAGTAAATTTGCAAAAGATGTGACAGGAAAAGAAGTTGCACGCATAATGCTTTCTTATACCTTTTGGAATCATGTTGTGCATGCTCTCAACGTTGGTGGTCCCTTGATTAAGGTACTTCGTTTGGTGGATAGGGAGCAAAAACCACCAATGGGGTACCTTTATGAAGCAATGGATAGGGCTAAGGAAGCTATTCAAAAAGCATTTACTGATGAGTATAAATATGCAAAAGTTTTTTAAGATAATTGATAAAAGGTAGAATACTCAACTTCACCATCATTTGCATGCAGCTGGAAATTTTGAACCCATCATTTTCTTATGATAATGTAGAAAAATAATTTACTGAATAAAGAAGTGTGGAAGGGATTCCATAAATGTGTTGCTAAGTTGGTTGTCGATGAAGACGTCCAAGATTCCATAACAGATGAGATAAGCACTTATAAGAGTGCTGATGGACTTTTTGGATTACAAACGGCTATTAGACAAAGAACGAAGAAGTCACCAGGTGAATGAGTGTTTTTTATGTTTCATTCTAGCTTTAGCTTTTAAATTATTTCTTTAGACTTGCTAAATTTTGAGTTGTTTTGAATAGTTGAATGGTGGAGGTTGTATGGCTTAGAAACTCCAGAATTACAAAAGTTCACCATCAAAGTTGTAAGTCTAACTTGTAGCTCATCGGGGTGTGAAAGAAATTGGAGTGTGTTTGAACATGTAAGAGATAAAAGATTTATTATATTGAGATAATTATCTTATCTCTTACTAATAATTACCTGCCCTAATTTATTTGCAGCTTCATACTAAGAAAAGGAATAGACTAACCCTCAAGTGCCTCAATGACCTAGTGTTCATAAAATACAATATAACATTGAGGCGTCGTTACAATGCTCTCAATGTGATTGATCCGATTCGTTTGGACAATATTGACGATGCCAATGAATGGCTAACTGGAGTTGACTATGCTGAAGATGAAGAAATTTTTGAGGAAAATTTTGACTTCACTTGGTTTGGTGTTGGGGAGGTAAGTGCGGTTGAGAAAAACCGTTATGATTTAAGAGGAAATACTTCAAGCTCACATAGGAGGGGAAAAGAAGTAGCTACAAGTCTATTCCTAGTGGATGAAGTTGAAAGAGATAGTGATACTTGACGAAGATGATGAGCAGTATAATGATAATGGAGGAATACAAGATTTTGATAATCTTGTAGTAGAAGAATTGTAGAATTAAACAAATTAGATGTTGAACCATGAATATAACTTTGACTTTGCTTGTGTTATGTTATATGGAGGATTTTGTGATGTCTAATTTTTGGTTTTTAATTTGAAATTTTGGTTATATATACTGTCTTTATTTATTTTGGTCTCTTTTCTTTTAATTTACGCTTCACTTCAATGAAGCGAGCGCTTCGCTTAAAGCGTGAAGTAGGACCTTATCGCTTTTTTCTGTTTCACACTTCTCTGAACACTGGGTGGTGGTACGGTGCACTTTATGAATATTTCATAAATTTGTGGAAAATTCGAGATCTTAATCTTTATAAATACCCTCAATATTTGATGTCTTCATTATCTCCTTGTGAATATTCCATTAATTTATACAATTCTTGAGATGTCTTTTCAAGGGAATAAATTACCCTTTATATACGCATAAGTTAGAGTTTAGGATAAAGTAGTCTCCAAGAATCCTAATTGGAATAGAATAATCTTATAAAGTCCAATTAGAATTGAACACGTTTTACAGAGTCCTACAAATTTTCATTATCTAAAAATATTTCTTAATACAGTACAAATGATTAATTTATAATTCTATCCCCAAGCATTAAGCTTTAATTATGCTTGCTAAAAGAAATATAAATTATACTCTTTAATTTCTTCTATCACTAGAACTCAATAGCAAAGGAGGAACTGTTCGAAGTGGAAGATTGATGGAGCAATAATAATGCCAATGAAGGAAGAAATCTGGTAGATTGTTAGATCAAACTTTTGAAAGATAAAAATGCTTTTTTTTTTAAAAGAATAAGAGTTTGTTTGATTAATTGATTGTAAATAGTCGATAAATTTTAAGTGTTGATATCAATCTTATAAATAATTAGTAAAGTATCTAAATAAATTGTTGAAATTCATGATAATAAGCAATTGATGTTCTTGTTATAAAAAAAAGTGTTGATAAACTATTCTTTTATTAAAATGACTTAAATTTTCTTATTTTTGTTTAACCAAAAATTATAAATTTAAAAGTATTTTTTTTATTAAAAAGAAAAAGAAGAAGAAGAAGAAGGAAGGACGTGAACACAAAGTGAAAAAAAAAGAAGTTGGGAATTTTTAGTTTTAGAAAAGATATTTTGAAATTTAGCAGAATAATAAAGATAAAATAGAAAAAAAGAAATTATCAAATTAAAAGTGTCTAGTTGCTTAAAAGTCATAAGTTGGAGGTGAAGAATTTGTAGTTTTTGACTGATTTTGATTTATAAGTATTATGGTATTTTTATTAATATATAGATACTATAAGTCAATATGACTAGCTTATAAGCATCTAAATACCTTCACATTGCAATTTGCAGACACCAAGAAATGAATATGTATTTTATGTGGTCCTAAAATCTCCTTATATTTATAATTTACATATTTTTCTAATATTCGAATACCGAAAATAACTACCGAATATATATTATGGTTAGTTTTTTTATATATAAAAAAACTCAAGGAAAAATCTAGCATGCAAGAATAAAACTTTAATCCATATGTATTTTTTTAATAAAATAATTTTCAAAAGCTAAACTTAAAAAAAAGAAAGTAAAATTAATAAAACATAGAGACTTTATTTGACTCCAAGCAACTAAAGCACGTCGGTAATTGACATATCACTTCGTGTATTTCTCATCTCTTCATTTTCTCTCCTTTTTTTTTCTCTCTTTTCTTTCTTTTTCTCCTTTCCTTCAAAATATATGAAGGCTTTCAAAATCTCAAATAAATAAATAAATTGATAATGATCTTCCCATGTATATTTGGCCTAATTTTCAAATATAATATACTAGAATTTCTATATGAAATGAATAAATCATAAAAAAGAAGTAAATATAAGTACTTCAGTACACATTTTAGTAAAATGTTTATTTTTTATTTGACATTCATTCCTTTCATCTAACCATTTTAATTTCCTAAAAAGTGAAATATAAAGATTGTCAAGAATAGACAAAGTTGACAATGGGGCAGGACGGGGCAGAGTGAATGTGGAGCACGTGGAGCTTAAATAGCAAAAACTTAACATGCCCCACCTTTCCTTGTATGGTAAAAAAATAAAATTCAATCGCTTCATCCTTCTCCACATAAATTTGTTCCACATAAGTTTTTAAATTTTTAAAATTAAGTTTGATATTAAAAATAAAATTCATAAGTAAATTTATTTTTTCGCTAAGTTGTATTAATTTAATAGTTAATTATTTGAATTTAATTTTTTAGAAGTTAACTGCGATTTATATAAGGAATTGTATTAGCTTTGATTAAATTATTTTTATTTACTATCTTTAATATCTTAATAAGCTACATTAAAATTAATATTGTATTAATTTTGTTTCATGTTTAACAACTTTGAGCAACAACAATGACCATTACCAAATTATCTTAATTTTTTGGAGAGCAAAACAAAATCAAATTCATAGAACTCAATATTTTAAGATTCTTTAAAAAATTTCTTCTTAAGTCAAAAAGCATTTGGTTTTCACTAATATAACAAAAGACAAGAAAATGATCAGTGTCGCTCTTATTTGGAAAAAATACCTTTCCAGAAATTATTGATTCAATTGTATACACTAAAATATGTAACAATATAAATATATATTTCAAGAAACTTTCAATTGATATTAATTTGAACCAAAAAAAAATCGTTCATGATATTTGTGTATTCTTACTCTCAGGGAGTGCTCTATCACTCTTATAACATGTAAAAGTTAAAATTGAGCTTGAAACCACATAAAATTGCATAAAGACGCAATTTGCCCTGCCTCACCCCACCCCGTATTAATTTTGAAAAACTCGCCTCTATCATGCACAACCTAGAATCCGTCCTCCATAGCCTTAAGCTCACCCCATCCCACACCGGCACCCGCCCCACCTCATCCCATTGCGAACGTGAGAATATAGCAGTAAAATATATTATGAAATTTCAACGACGTTTTTAAGAAGTTGAATTTTTTTAGCAAGAGTGTCACATCCTTAGTCTTCCACTAAGCATACGTGTGACATTTGACAAATCGCTCACGTTCTTGCACCACTTGTTATGTCAAGTCAGCCTAAAACTCTAGGAATCACTAAGAGAATGGAAGAGAGAACACAAGATGATTGCTAGGAAGAATTGTGTTGTAGAGAACTTTGTTGATTTTTGCTTGATGATTTTACAAATGAATACCCCTCTATTTATGTTACTTACTTAGGGACTAAAATGTAAATAATAATTAACAAGCAAGTTCCTAGTTATTTACAAATAAATCCCTTCTCTAGAATAATCTACAATTTTAAAATTGAGCAACTTACAAAAATGACTATATTTATAGGATTATTGAAGTTTAATAGCTATAAATATGTTATTTACTAAAAATAACTACACTTTATGTCAACTTCTAGCTGCATGTTTGTATTAATTTTTTATTATTATTATTTATACAGCGATCTTATAATGTACTAAATAAGGTACGGTATGTTACCATAACTGCCAACCTTTTATTATGTCCCTAAATCACTCAAATTTCCATTATTAAATTACCAACTAATATTTACATATTGAATGCATATCCCTATTCATTCACATAATACAATAGTAAGTTGTATTTATATTCATAAATACAATATATTCACAAAATACTAATTATAAAGGTATTCATAAAATTTTGAATATAAAAGAGTATTTATGTCTTTTTCTCGTTGTATTTTTGTATATGTTTTTATTTTTCTATTTATACACTAATACAGTTGTAATTACAATAACTAAATAAGGAAAATATATTACTTGTACAATTAGCATATGAATACTTTGAATTCAAATTGGTGTTTCTATTTATAAACTTAAAAGTATTAATATATCAAGTATACAAGTATTTATAAAAACTTAATGTATTAATACATCAAACAAGGTAAAGTAGTACAATTTTAGCATATGAACACAACAATTTGGAAAATGCATGGATACACTATTGTTAAACCAAAAATGAATACACCAATACAGTATACATATGAATACACTGTTGTTAAATAAGAAAAATGGAAAAACAATAGAATGTGTAGGTATCAAAGTGTGTAAGTATTCGACTGTATAAAAAATTGAAAAAGCCAACAAAACGTCAATCTCTTTTTGGTCAAGTTTTTCCTATAATACTTGAGGGTTGGTGTTAACTTAGGTATTTATTTATTTATAAAAATATAGTATTAATGTATCCAACTATACTTGTATTGCCTAATCAACCTTTCAAATTGAATATATTACTTATGTATCCAAATATACTTGTATTCACAAATCACTATTTCAACTTGTGTTAATATTACAATATAATTATCTATGTATATAAGTATTATACTATATACAAATTTGACAAACAACAAAATTCTCTCTACTCTATCTGCTAACAACGGTAACCTAACGGCTCCACTGAACTGCGGGTATCCCCCACGCTCCATCTCATAGAGCCACCAGGGAGTCTCTCATCGACGCGCCGGGACAAGGAGATGGCTCCAGCATTAGAGGTGACACTCATTGCAAGGAGATATGCAATTTCGCCATGGAAGGAAAGATATGGAATATAAATATCCAAAGAAAGTAAATAAACTATAAATTAAATTAAATACAATATATATTTTTTGAAATTATTTTAATCACAATATAAAGTTGTTTTGTGGTCCCAATTGTAATGTTTTTATAATTCTACTATATTATAAAAGAGAGTTTAGGCCCAAATATAATATAGGGAAAAGGTCCTGATTTACCCCTAAACTTTATGATTTGGAGCTGATATACCCTCCGTTTAAAAAATGGCTCATATATGCCCCTGCCGTTATAGAAATGGCTCATATATGCCCTTTTACTTAACAAATTAATTTTTAATAAATTAAAATTCATTTTTTTTTGCTTTAATTTAAGAAAATGTCATGTGACTTTTAAAATA